GTTATTTCCTGAACGGCAAGAGTCTTTGGGTTGCGGCTACCACGCATGCCAGCAAGTTTAGAATAGAAAAGTGCTACTTTGGATGTGAGATTATCTTGGCACCATGAGCAACAACCTATACAGGGAGATGCAGTTATGGTTTAATATGTGATGCCCAGAAAAGGTGAAACTTATATCAAAGTCATGGCACAGGAAAGTTAATAACAAGAGAGTAGATTGAGACAATTAATATTTTGTTTAAAAGGTTGAATATAATAGGAAGCAGGAAAAATATGACATAGAAGTATTCCAAAGGACAGAACTTTTGGGAATGAATGAGTTGGAATGAGATAAAGTGTGGAATGTGGGTGTAGAAACAAAGTATTTGTGAACATGTGCAGAAGCTTGTGTTGACCTTGAAGGGTTGTGGAGGTGAGAACAAATAGAAATGGATTTTGTCTAGGCGAGATAAGACAGAAGGAGCTCCTCCCCAGATATGAGAGCAGTATTCTAGTTGGGGAGCGAATCTGGCATTTATAAAGGAGTAGATGGGAGGGTGAGAAGTATTTACGAGCTCGGAAGAGGTAGCTTAACTTTTGAGAGGCTTGTTTGGCAAGGATATGGATGTGGTGACTCCAACAATGAGTATTGTAGATGTTACAGAAACCCGAAGTTGAGAAATAGTGTCCGTCAGACTAAGTTCATCTTGACCCATCAAAATGACAGGAAATGAAGAGTCTAGTTCACGAGAAATAACAACCTGTGATCAGTTTTCATGCTACTGAACTGCACAAGGTTGTCATTTCCCCATTTGCAAACAACTGCTAGATTCTGGGAAAGAATGTTAGCTGCTGTAGAGATTGCAGCATCAGCACAAACAAAATTGGTGGAAGCTTGGGTCTGAAAGCTGAAAAATGAACTTAAGTAGTTGTCATTAGCGAAAGAGTGAATAGAGCAGGAAAACAAAGAGAGCAGATCATTAATAAATAATATGTAGCCATCAATCTGGACAGTGATAGATCTACCTTGGAGGAAGTCTGAGATCCAATGAATAAGATAAGGAGGGAGACCAAAAGAGGCAAAGTTTATGCCAAACACAGTCGAAATACTTGGAAATATCAAGAGAAATGACACGACTTTCACCAAATTTCTAAAGCATAAAGGACCAGAGGTGGGTGACAAAGGAAATCAGATCACCAGTAGATCTTACATGACGAAAACCATACTGGTGACCAGAAAGAAGTTGATGAGATTGAAATACCTTAGAAAGTAGGGAAGTAAGGGCAATGGGTCGACAATTAGATGGGAGGGATTTGTCAACTTTTTTGAGAATAGGAAAAACAGGGCACGCCTCTCCAAAAATTATGTGCAAGTAGTTAAAAATCACCTAAAATCCCCTTATTTTGCGAGTTAGCGCCCCCTCAACCAATTATCAAACTCCCCACTTCATCTTCGCGCCTCCCCCCTTCAGCACCCCCATGTCAAGACTTCTAGATACGCTACTGCAAAGAACTGGCAACTCTTCCTTAGTGGTGAAAACAGAAAACTGTATAAGCCAATAGAAGAACTGTGGTAAGGGTGGGGTCTCTTTAAAACCAACACTACCACCGTCAGTTCTCTATGGTCAGATGCAAAAATAATTTCTATGTTATGTGGCCAGCTCTGGCAAAGATCACCGTTTGTTGCAATTTCTAATTTTGCACAAGCACCCAAAAAGTTTTGAGAATCAGAACTTTTTCAGGTTTTTGCATTTTATAAAACAAGATATAAGATTTCCATAAAATAAAAAAAATTTCCCACAAACGGCTGGTTTTGCCAGAGCCGATCAAATATGTTACGAACAAATGCCAATAAATCAATGGGAAAAAGAAAAACGTATAATATTTTTGCAACTAAAAATATTTTTTAACATAGTGAATAACAATCCAATTACTTGTTTTTATTCATAATATACCATTTTTTATTGATGTACTTAAATAAAAAATGGTTTATTATAAATAAAAACAAGTAATTGGATTATTAATCACAAAACCAGATGAAACTATTTGATCATATATTGAATAATGTTTGAACAATTTTATTACCGAGTCTATTAAGCTTTTCGTGGGTTATTGTTTGATAGCTATATTACTATTAATTCAGTGTCGTAAACAAAAAAACTTATTACTACTCACCCGCTGCACTATATAGGATATTTCGGCTCCGCTCTCCGGAGCCATGTTCACCAACTATAAAGCTCGCTGTTCTCCCCCTGGTTTCATGCACAACCGGTTACCATCACAAGAACGGCTCTATCAACAGCTTGTATGTAAAGTGGGGTAATGATTTCCCGAATTCCATTAATCGTTGAAAAAAAAAATAACAAGGTAAAGAATTGTTGTGAGTAAAAGAAAAAGAACAAAATCTTTTTTAACGCCAGGGATATGAAAGCTAATCCAGCAGATCAATGTACTTTTGAATTGCATCCTCTTTCTGTTGAATACGAGCTTGCAATGACTCTATCTGGGCCTGGGCTACTTATGTTACTTGCTTATGTTGGCAGGCTTCCTCAATATTCTTGTAGCTCACACTTTCTGCAATTTGGTCTTTGATAATCTCATCCCTCTCCGCTGATGCAGGAAAACGAAGACGCAGTTCATTGATTACATTATCTCATGCAAGAAGGTCCTCTTCAGTTCTTGCCAGCTGCTTCTCAATGCTGTTAAGATTCTGTAATAAGATTAGATGGAGAAGTTAAGAATACATAGTGCAATGAGTGAATGGAAGGGATTGATGGAAGTGGAATACAGGATAGCAAGCACAAAGTGAAAAAGATGATTAAGAATGGCCAAGATCAATGTCAGTGAAACCATGGAGGTATTATTAAGAAGATCACTCGATCATGCAGCGCTATGCAAATAAGCCAAGAAAAAAGCTGCCGCAGTGCGTGAAGAACATTTGCGCGATGCATTTGAGGTCTAATGCGTTCCCCGCCACCAAATGCTCAGCAGGCTTATTTTACCCAAAAAAAATTGAACATGTTGAAATGGAGAGCAACTTTTCTCAATGCGCACCAATTATAGTCAATCACTATGGCTGTGCAATTCCACCCTGAAGCTAATACATTTACCTTTCAAGAAATACCAAACATTAATATTTACAAAAAAGTTTCAAATTTAATAAAACATTTAAATGACCTTTGAAAGTATGGTATATTTCAAATTGAATTTCCATAAATTGGATAAAACTCGATGATTCTAATTTTAACAGATAATAATTACTGAATGGTTGAGGATTATAATAAACTAAGTCATTTTAGTGTAAACGAGTGAGGACTATTCAAAAATTCAATTCAAAGTCACAGTAATTTTCAGTTTTACGCTGCCTTAGCTTTATAGACAAACCAATCGATCTTTAGATGAAAGTATGATGAACACAGAAGTAATTCTAACAGAAATATTTTGCGGAATCTGTTTCTGAAATATACACATAATAACATACTAAAAGTCTGGGAAAAAAATCCAATCGGGGGAACATTGTTAATTTTAAAGATATTTAATGAGTTAAAATCAAACGGTTTATCGCACAACTGCGATGTTAAAAAGTATAATAGTTGTTGCTAACAAAAAAATGTTAATAATTAGATACATGCCTGCACACGATCCAAAGGTGGGGAACACATTGGTTTGTTGCGTCAAATCTGTTGCCGAGTGATCTCCTTCCCAATAATACCTCCATAGCTAAACTTTATGCACCTGGATAACAAACAGGCAGCACTGTAGCTCCCCTCACAGTGGTTTTCCAAGATCATTGCAGTCAAACTTTACTCACAATAACTGTAGACAGAAAGAATAATTAAAATTATTTATAAAAGATAAACAATGATTTGTAATGGTAAATAGAGGTGCAGTCGTGTGATAGCTTTAATTTTTGAAGTTATATATGGGCAAACAACTTTCGATAGTCTGGATAGAACTTCAAAGCACAGTACTTTAAACATGACATCTTGTGCAACTTATATTTTTCTGTCTCCATCTGAAAACAGGCCCAGTTTTTCCATCAAATGATGATATGGCAGAATAACCTAGCAGTGAATTATTGGAATATAATACAAACTATGCTGAATATGATTTGAGTTGTTTATAATTTTTTTAATTTTTAAAATATATTACTTCAATTTACAATTAAAAACAATCTTATCAGACTGGGGATGATGCTGGAAAGCAGGGACATCTAAAGAAGTATACCACTGTCACTCACAAGATGTACTGGTAAATATATTATCATAATGATAAGAGAGGGCGTGGGTCTAGCAGACAAAATTGATAACCACAACACTAGAACATTTTTTCAGCCTAAAAACCTTTGCCATTGCTAGAGTACTTCTCTCTATACTCACAATGACTGTAGACAGAAAGAATAATTAAAATTATTTATAAAAGATAAACAATGATATGCGTCTTTATTGATACTGCAGAGAGTTTACATTCAATTAGCAAATTTTGGTTATTTTGTCTCAATTTGTTTTTGGCCAGACCAAACCAAGAACTTCGCATCTCATGGTTTCCGCCTTTGAATGGTATGTGCTAATTTTGCTAGAAAAATTTTTGTGGTAAAGGCGAGACTTTGATATACCTTGTTTAGCGAACTCGTCGCCCGTAAATAATGATGATTTCAAATAAAAATAAAGTTTTATTTTTGGCCAATTAGCACACCTGCCGCCAAAAAAAATGTGAATAAAAAAAGTTTTTCTCTACCTTTATTATGCCAGCTGTTACCCTGAAATCTCCAAAAATAACTAGATATGTATATTTCTTCCTAATTATATAAATTTCAAGCAGTTAACCATCCCATTACTAAACTGTTTACATTCACCAATAAATATCTACTTCGTTCTCCATCTGGATGTTTTTGGCAAAACTATTTGCTAAGTAAGAAAACATTTTTTCCATCCTCCTCTCAGGACCTTTAAAAAAATAAGTTTGCGAAACAAGGTATAAAAAAAGTCCTGCCTAATGAAATGAATTAACAAAAAACACAAATTAAGATATAAATAATTTTACCTCATTTATTGCATATGCTGAAACCAATATACATACATAAACATTAACTGCTGCAAAAATCATTTATCCTAATTACTCACTATGTTAAACATTTTTTTATGGCTTAAACCTAATTAAAATACAATGATAAACAGTAAAGGATCTAAATTGCAAGTGAAACTTTAGTACACATTAACAATTAAAATACCTTAAATTGTATATTATCTAGTTTCAGTCATTTCTAAATAATTAAAAATAGGAGAGTAAATTTGTAGATTATTTATCAAGAACAAAATAATAACCTCATTCAACAGAATAAACATATAGCAGAATCTATCACAGAGGTACAAACAAAATCATCACAAATAATAAACAGTAATTGTAGTATACATTTCAATATGGTAGGATAAACTACCATATAAAGATGACTCTTGTACCTTAAATGAATTAAGATATTCATTTATTTATTATAAGTTTCACACAAAATAATTGTATTCAACCATATTTCATGGAGAGTGTTCTGCCAAGAGTATCAAGAATCTATGGCATGGGCTATATTCTTAACAACCAACCGGTCATCTTGAATAACTCCTGGTTGAAAAATAATTACCTAAAAGTAATCCCACAAATCAGAAGTGATGTTGTTGGTCTATGAGTGATACTTACCTAGATAAACTGACTAATTGCTTGTTTCAAAATGAAACAATGCTTACAAACATAGATTAGTTGGCACCCCGGGCACATTTTATCATGTTCATATCATTTGTAGTGTAAATTGCATAGGTGCAATGTTTAATACGGTCTGTATTAATACAACATTATTTTGGTAGATTTCTGTTAATCATTCTGATAAAATCACTTTTGCATGTTACAAACATTTGGTGACACACAACACTTTTAGCATTTTAAAAACATTAGTTTGGTGGTCTTGATCAGTTTTCAAGGCGGAATATCTATAGAAACACCAAACTGATCAGAAAAGTTCCTTAATTGATCCTCATATTTAATATTCCTCTCAATTGCTTCTCTGTAGTTGAATTTAAGATCTTCTATCTCTTCGAAAAAGTTTGGATCAAACTGTTCCAGTTCTTGCTGAAGCTGATGGAAATAAAAAAAAAAAAAATATGAAGAAAGATTTATGTTTTATTTATTCATTTATCATCTATTTAGCTAATCATCCATCTATCCATCCACTTATTCATCCATCAATTTTATTCATTTTCCAACCTACACACCCATCCCCACCCATATCCAACAAATGGCTCTGTGACATAAATTAAATTGCAAAGAGAAATAGAAGCTTTGAAAGAAAGGCAGAAGCCTAAATGAAGGGATATTGTCCGTAGGTTTTGATACAGTTTTGAATAGTGAAATAGAGTATATTTGGTAAGCAATGCATCCAAGATTGTTTATTACAAGAAATAGCTATACACTTTTTGGCAAGCACGCTTCAAATGCACTGTTGACAACTAAGAACACCTCAACAGTAAATTTCTTCTAGTAGTAAAAAAATGAAGCATAAATGGAAATAAAGATAGAAACTATAATATTTAGAGGCAAGTTTGATGGCCGAGCGGTTATGGCAGGTGCGCCGCAACATACTGTCACAATATCGGCGCTGGTTCGAACAGCATGCATGTCTATGGTTCTGGTGTTAGAACAATTCTTCTCGGATAAGGACTATAAACCATAGGTCTATTGTGGGTAGACGAGAATAGCTTGCCTCGGTTTACCGGGTAGCACAGACACGAAAGAGACACTTGGGGAAAAGCAAATTACTGTAAGAGATAGTCCATACTTTGAGCACTTTGAGACTGTTTTGCTATAAAGTGCTATATAAATCTAACTACATTACATAACTTTAATACATTACCTGTTCAACCTGTATCTGTAGCTTGTCTCTTTCAAGTTGCACTGCTTTAAAATCGGTTCTTAGCTCAACGATTTCTGTTAATAACTTGTCAGAATTAGGTAAACGGTTTGATGAAAGATCATCCTATCGAGAGAATCAACAAAAAATTATAATATAAACAAGTCGATTGGTTGAGTGGTTAAGGCCCCAAACTACAGTAATATCAGTGCTGGTTTAAGCAGCAGCTCATCTATGGTTCTGGTGGTATATGTAAACGTCTTCTTGGATAAGGACTATAAACAATGGCTCATGAGTTATTGTCTACTGGTCCATACATCCCACGTGGTGAACGACAAGTGTTGTTGACACTAGGTTACTAGGTAGCACAGAACACTTAGGTGTGAAGGAAGTCACTGAACGAGCTACTAGTCCCATGCTAAGAGCCATGAGTATCTTGTTAGACGGATACCGGCACTATACAAATGTACATTATCATTAAACACACCACAACACATACATAGTACAATACATATATATATACATAGTAC